AAAACTAAATGCATTTATATTAACTGTAAGTCTAGTGTGAATGTCTATTGCATGTTCCTCATTTTCTAAATGCTAAATGTTGTATTGCTGGAAACAGTGTGGCTGTGAGCGGAGACAGCTCCATGGAGCAGAGCCTGAAAGTGACAGACTCCATAATAACAGGATGTTTACAGCGTGCGGAAGCCCTGCCAGGGACAACCACAAGCAGGCAGCAACTTTGGCTGTGGCTGGAAACACGAGTGAAGAGGAAATGCAGGCCGGCCAGATTCCCTCCAGATGCACCGAATATAACCACTGCTGTTTTGTTTACACAGACTCTCTACCTGCTTGGGGTCTGTTTAAGTCTTTCTTTTTTCCACAGTGACCCCTGGAGAAAGAAAACACAGTGATGGCTGATGGGGTCAGCTGCAGGTGACAGTGGACAGACAGAAATAGGTGGTTTCTGACATTTAGGGTGGGTTGAAGCTTGTTCACTGTCACCAGCTGTTTCTTTTCAACTATCAGTCTTCAAATTTTGCACCAGACATCACTTCTCCAATGAGCACTTGTGAACCTGAGTAAATAGTAGTGTGAGTAGTAGGGTGTGAATACTTCCTGTTTGCCATAGGACAAAAAGGCCTGCTGTCACCTGGCGGGTATCAGCATTTCATCTGAGTTGATCTGATCAGATTCTTTTGGTGTAAAGAATTTTATCAAAAGAGAGCTTGAGTGTGTCTTTAAGCTTTTTGGACCGGGACAAAAGTGGCTACATAGAACAGGGCGAGTTACAGTTGAGTCACATGCACAGAAAGCATTCTGATCTGATATGTAAAATCACATTTTGCCAAGACAATTTTAGTGTGTTGTTCGTTTAGGCTCTTGTTTCTGTGTTTGATGTTCACTTGTCACTCCACTGCTCTCGGTCAGGCTCTTCTTGGAGAACTTCTGTGATGGAGCAAGACCTCTGACCCCAGCAGACACCAGAGCTTTCCTCCTGGAGGGAGACTTGGATGGCGACGGTGAGATCGGCTGCGAAGGTCAGTGTGTCTGAGCACAACAAACCAAAGATATAGAGTTCACATTTTTGTTTTCGTGCTTTTTCAGGCATGTGTATTTGATTTGATGCCATAGTCACACATCTGTCTGCTTCCCAGGTGTTGCTGCCTATTCTAAACTTGACATCACTTCCACTTTCCCACGGTGTAAAGCTGATTGTGACATCACTAGTCTCGTCCAATCAGCTTTTTGCCTGCCTTCTTCGGGCCAATCAGCTGTGATTCTGTGTACTTTAAATCTCACTGGACATTAGTCATTGTCCCTTGCAGATGCCTTCATGCAACCCACCTCCTCCCCATCATCACCTCTCGCTCATCTTTCATCTTCATCTCCACCACCAGCATCTAGACTCCAGGGGGTTCTACCATAATCCCTATAACTGCTGGGATTTCGTTCTGTGACGCACCATCGGAGTCTAACCACCAACTACCTCAAACTGAATTCTGTATATTAATAAATCATGTTCAGTTCCATCATAAATGATCCCTCCTTATTGAAATGAAGACAACAGTAGGAACAGCTTTAAAAATAGGTCTTTAGTCATCACATGTTTATTATATATACAATTAAGTGAGGGACGGGGCTCCGGGGAAATCCAAGGGGGTAGTCACGCGTTCTCCAACTCTCCACACTCACAGCCACAGGTTTACTCTTCCACACTCGACACAAAGAATCACACGGGGAGGGAATCCAGGAGGCCTGTAGACGGGGAGACGAGGATTAGTTACACAGTTCACTTTTAAACACTTGAGCTTAGCTTAGCTGTAGACTTGACTTTCACTAACGCCTGGCAGACAACAATCCAGCGAAGAACAGCAGTCACCTCCTGGCTTAAATGCTGACCGCCCTGATTAGGCTCAGGTATTTTCTCTCACCAACGGCGTGGGCCGAGGGCGTGAACCCACAATGAGCTCTGCCCCGGCGATAGAGAAGAGGAGAGAGTGGAAGTTGGAGAGAAAGACAGAAAAAACCTCAGATCAGCTGGACGCTGATCCTCCTGGCCGTGACATAACCACATTATCACCAAAAGGAATTCAGATTGTTAAGAGTATAAATGGTCGTGTAAAATGATGCTTTACCACTAAAAGTCCTGCGTTTATTTGTAAGTAACAGAAAAATGTTCATCAGCTGTTAGTAAATTACTCATTAATCGTGGATAATGGAAGTAAGATATACCAGTGTTCTGTGGATGAGTGTAATCACAGACACATGACTACAGAAAATAAAATAATGAAAAAATGAATAAAAAAAAGTTAGAGATAGAAAATTTCACTAAACTTTTGTTCATAGTGAAGATTTTTTTGTATTACATTTCCACCAAACTGTTTCACTGCAGTAGTAAGACGCAGGGCCAGATAGGTTGGATCAGTACTAGTCCAACTTTCTTTCTTCTTCTTCTTCTTCTTTTTTTTTATATTACTTCAAACACTACAGACTAAAAAATGCTTATTGGTGCAAATTGCACCAGGGGTGCACAAGCAGGGCACAGTTGGCTCATGCAACTGATATCTGGCAAACAGGAAAGTGGCTGTGAGGTTTGGGTGACTAGGTGTCTGGCAGAGCTTCGGAGTACCTGCATGACCCAGCAGAGAAACTCTGCGACGGGATTAAATTTCTGATCCGACGCATTTACAGAAGTTCTGTCAATGATGCACATTTATTTGCAACTTTCTCCCAGATGGCGAGTCACTCACCTGCCTGGCAGAGGACAGAGCGACAGGAAACAAGGGTCACTTCTATTTCCGCTGCAGCACCAAAGAGCGACCTTCTGCTCTCAGGTGGAGATATTGATTCAATACGTGCACTCTTCTGCACACAGAAGGCAAAATATCTGCTGTGGCCTAAACCCGTTTCACAGGATTTTCTGAAATGTACATTTCAGAAGACGTCCTAGAATCCTTCGTTGCTGCTTCAGCTTACAGGCGTTCATGGCCTTGCTTGACGGGTTTCATTCCTGCTGTGAGATATTTGTAATTTAAGCCTGATATTGAAGAAGGGCAGAAATAGTTACAGTATCTATGGCTGAGTCGTTTGAGGTGAGAGACCTCATTTGAACATAGCAGATATTAAACGCCACAGATTAGTTTTACAGAGCTTTTAAGAAGTAAAGAAAAAGCCCAGTGAAGCACATTTTAAGTACAATTTGTGGCTTCTTGGACAACCTATGCCTGAAACCATTTCTGTGAAAGACTTATGGAGAACTGTAGCAGCAGCTAAGCTAACAACGTATTACGTGTCCAGAGCTTGAAATTAAATATGTTTAATATAGATTCTGTTATGATTTGTACACACAATTAAATTCTGCTGGTATTTCAATAAAACTCTTCATCATCTCAATACTGCCACCTGATGTAGAATTACTGCATAACACCTGGCTACCCAAAAAAAAAAAGCAAACATGATAAGGAAAGTCCCCAGGACTATCCCCGTTTAATTGTCATTTGTTTTGATAGTGTGTGAGAACTCGGTGTCATTATGCAACCATCCGGTGCCAAACTGGATAAGTTAAAAGGATGATGATGATAATGGGTGCGATGATACCGAGGGTATCAGCTTTCAGCGTGTCCCCAAATAGCACCACAAATAGTTTCATCGCCATATGGAGAAATGGTTTGAATGGATGTAAGAGGTCCAGAAATAAGTTCTGGCATGAGAGCGCATGAGATGATAGTGGTGATGTACTATTAAATTAAAGCGTTTCAATTAATCCCTGGAGCTCCCCACTTCATATAAACGTCTTCCTCCTATTCCTAAGACTATAACTCCCAGTTTGGCGTGGAAAATTATCATAACATTGTTTTAGTTCAGTATTGCTATTGTATACAAGTCCCCTCTACGCATTCACGGCAATAAAAATGAATGAAACTTCAAAAATGGGGCACAATGTGCATAAACATACATACGAATTAGGAAGACAGAAATCATAAAGACTCATAGAAACCGTAGTCCATAAGTTTGATGTAGATTTATATATTTTTTAATAATTCATATAATAATCATACACACATAATTGTTTTTATCAAGGGAATAGATAAGCAGGACAATGTTTTTCTCCATAATATAGTAGTATAATAGCTGATCAGCCTAGTGTTCTCAATGCTGCCATTATGTGAAGCTAAGAACAGCTGGAATAGGGAAAAGTGTTAAATGCATTCCCCTGTTGTGGCCTAAAAATCCAAAGAACAAATAAAGAAATGGACGTTTATATTTTGAACGTGGTGTTTGAACTTACGTAGGTTTTCGACTACAACGTCTCTACCTGCAGTAATCAATCAGACCAATCAGCCTGTCCTGACACTGGAACGTCAGCAAAGTCATCGCAGACGTTTTACGCACGCCAGTTACGCACAAGCGCCGTTTCAACCAAACCGTGATCGGCGATGATGGTGTAAAAGCACAGAGATAATATTAGCAAAATGTACTGAGTGTTTGGGGGGTTTTACAAAAAAACAACAACAAAAAAAAACCCCATTGCTTTATTAAAGGAACTCTTCTGGAGGTTATTTAGAACCAAAGCTGGCGAAGATAGCTATTTAAGGTCATTTAAAGAGTTCATAATCAACACAACGCTTTTTCACATTAATACATTTATCATTTAAACATGATTAAAGACAGCGTTTGAAACGACATTCATTAAAGCACAGTCAACAAGTGAAATTACATAAACACAAAGCAAAAACAAAAAAATAATAACAGTATTAAGTACAGTTGACTTGGAATAAGTCTTTCTGGTTGTCAAAGATAATATAAAAGTTTACCCCAGCTTTCACTCTGAGGTGTTCTGCACACTTTAACAGGCTGTAGAGTATGTTTCAACCAAATCAGCAACATATATTATTAGCCTTATGCAATATTAAGCACTTTCACATAGGCCTACGCTTAGCCTACCATTTAAGCATCTTCATTTATGTTCATATAAATAGAACAGCTCTGTCTACTGGACACATTTTTTTGACTGACTGCTTTGCACACAGTGTCTGTTACATAGCCTATGCATCATATTTCGGGTGAGACAAGGTATATAAGCTGGTGAGAGTCGCTGGGGGCTTTACTGCAGTCACCAGATTCATCTGAGCGAATCCACTCTAGTCTTAGCCAGACCCTAAGGTGAGTTTCACTGAAGAGTTGCAGACCTGTAGGCAAGTCCACTTCCTGACTCAGAGAGTTACAGGGCTTCTACTTCTTCATGCAATGGGATATAAATCATGTCCAGATTTTGAACATCACAAGGCCAGATTTCAGCTTTGGACTAACAGAGGAACGAAATGGAGAAAGAGAAAAAATATTCAACTACAGATGCAAAGGAGATTTAATCTTTCGCCTTTTGGAAGGCTTTATTTTGGAGAAATTGGACTACCTTTTGTGGCTTGGAAGACTCACAGAGAGGGACTGTGAATTATACTGCATGGCATAATGAGTATTGCATGAAGCCCTGTAACTCTGAGCAGTGCACCACAAAGTGCACTGAGGGAAGTTAAAAGGTGGCCTTAGATTGAGAGTAAAGCTGCTTCATCGTGTCAGATTTCCCCACAGCCTGACTGACTAACCGATGACTTGTCCTCTTCTCTCCTCCCTCAGTTAAAAAATGGCATTCGCCGGAGTCCTGACCGAAGCTGACATCACTGCAGCCCTTGCAGCTTGCCAAGGTAAACATGATGAAACTCATAGCATTTTAACCTAGGGAAAGCCTAGACAACAGCCAAACTGCAAAAACTTCACATCCAGTTGCAAAATATTCTAAAAAAAAAAAAAAAAAAATCTCAGGTGTATGCCAGTAGTAAAGAGAGTTTTAAATGTCTCAGCATAAAGCATGCACCAGTGCATCTACTGTAAGAAAAGCTGACCTGCACGTTAGAAAAAAAAGCTGAGTGATGGTCAGGAAGGGAAAGTGGATACAACCAAATGCCAGGCCTTACATGCAGAAACTACAGCCTCTGCAAAACACACCACAGCCTGCGTTTATACTATAACCTCCCTCTGTCCATCTTTCCACAGCTGCCGACTCCTTCAAGCACAAGGACTTCTTTGCTAAGGTCGGCCTGGCAGCCAAGTCCGCCGATGAGATCAAGAAGGCCTTTGCCATCATTGACCAGGACAAGAGTGGCTTCATTGAGGAGGATGAGCTGAAGTAGGCACCCTCTCTTAAATTTCACCCACAAGCTCCTCAAAGCTCTTCTAGCACTGGGATCATCTTTCTCTGGCTCACAGTGAATTCAGAATGATGTCAGAGGCCCAAAAGCATCTGAGAAGCTCGGGCTACTGGGTGTTCTCCTAGACTGCAACTCAATACCAGTTCTCTCCTTCAGTGCCTCTCGCTGTAGGGTGACGTAGAACAGAGGACAAAGCAAAGGAATTGTAGCCTGCTTACATTTTTTTCATGACAAAGCCCAAAAACCTCAGCATCCAATAGAACAAGAAGGATTCAGTTAGAGATATTTAATATGCTTTTTGAATAGATGATCGGTTTAGCACAAAATATTCACTGTGATCCCAGAAAACAGCTGTTCAAAGAGAGGCTTCTCTTTTAAAAAGAAAAAAAAGCTGATCATTTGTCTCTGATTACCCTCTCCAGGCTGTTCCTGCAGAACTTCTCTGCCAGTGCCAGAGCTCTGACTGATGCTGAGACAAAGGCATTTCTTCAGGCCGGTGACTCTGATGGTGATGGCAAGATCGGAGTTGATGGTGAGGAAATCTTTACCTCAGAAGAACAATGTAAAGGCCATCCAACAAAACAAAACAATAACCTTCTTTCTTTCTTTCTCCCTCTGCAGAGTTCGCTGCCATGGTCAAGTCTTAAATGAATGAACTGACCAACTGACTGACTTCACAACTCTAAAGGAACAACTTGAATCAAGACATCCTTTTCCTCTCTTCTTCTCCTCTTCCCATTCACTCTCTCTCTCTCTCTGTCTCTCTTCAGTTCTCCACACCACTTTTATACACTCAACCTTTCACCCCTGACCATGGACAAACTGCTCCCTTTCTTTCTTTCTCTGGCAGTGCAGACCCCAATGTTGTCCACGATGAATGTAACCAACTAAGTGTATAGCGTGGTTGACTCGTGTCTTTCTCTCTCTCTCTCTCTCTCACTTCTGTCGTCGTTTTACTGTGACTTCTGCTTTCTGTGAGATCAGTGATGATGCACTTTTAGGGCAAACGGACGGACGATGAGAAAACAATAAAGGTTCTTTTTTCAGTAAGACAAGTCTGACCCTGTTCTTTGCTATTCAGTTGTGAAGTAGTAAATCAATGATAGCTTCTTTTTTTAAAAAGAAATTCAAAAACATTCTTTTAAATGCATGAGAAAACTTCTAAATGTAACATCCACCCACCCACCTATCAATTCCCCCATTGCCTGTGAATTGGCTCTTTAGGTAATCTGGCTCAGATATGTCTATTTTAAGAAAAATAAATTATGCTAAACTTTTAACTAAAATGCTAAACTAGTAGGCAAATGTCACACAGACAGGTAATTGACTCTGTATAATTGATGATCATAGCCACCATGATGTCACCCCCATGGGTTTGTAAAGTCCTGTATTGAAGTCACGAGTTCAGAATTTTGCATCACCGTCTCAGATTTTGGAGCCAAACGTTGAATAGGTGATGGATGGGTTAAGAGGGATTGTAACATCTAGTTCTTTTATTGAATCGGTTGCTAAGACCATAAAAGAAGGGGCATTTTCTCTTGTACATCCAGAAGAATGCAGTTTTAAAGCACATCTGCAACAGCATGTATCTTCTGTTCAACAATTCATGGAAGTGATATGACATGCAATATTCAGAAATCAACCCACCTAAAACACTTCAAAAATATCTATGTGCAAACTGACTTTAAATCATTTGATTATGTGTAGATTTTACATGTAGTTTTATTACAAGTACAATGTAAACCTATGAATTTAATGGACTTGTATGCATTCAGTTTATACTATATTTTCCTTAATGAGTCATTATTTAAATAAACAAACCTTTTTATTTTACTCAAAATTATCTATTATTTATTAAGTGCCAGTAGTTATATCAGACCAAATAAGCCTGTTGCAGCAGACCAGTTGAGTGCACATACTGTATATGCAAAATTTTCCACTATAATGCGCTCAGTTTTTTTATTTGTGTGAGGTGTAAGGTCCTGTTTTGGTTGCTTAAATGCATTTTTTTTTAATTGACTTTTGCACTATTAATGCATTACAAGTACGTCCAGCTGTGCTGATGTGAGACTTACATAACCTGTTAATCTAGATCCACAAACACGCTGACACACACCTGACTCCTGCTCTACATAATCCAGCTCTTATCTCTTACAGTATCTGGTAATACTTAAATTCCACCTCCCTTCCAAAGTGGGGGAAAACAACAACAACAACAACAACAGCAGCAAAACTTGATTGATAATCGCAATAATAGTAAGCAACCACAAGGTGTCGCCATTTAAAATAAATAAATACAAAGACGGCTTTTAGATGCTTGATGGTTAAAGTTGCAAACTTCGAGGCTTGGAGATAAAGAGGTGGTGTTTTGGAGTTACTCTTGGGGTAAATAGTTCATCTTTTTGTGTAACAAGTAGGTGAGACTGATGAAAATGCTGTTACTTGCAAAGTGTTAAGTCAGAGATTTGCAGCAATTGAAAGTTTGAGAAAAATAATTAGATTTATTCCCCCTGGTTCTAGTTACAGAAAGCACCCGTCCCCCCTCTCTCCTAAAGCCATTAGTGCTGACTGGATTCACCAGAGACGCTGCTGCGTCAGATGGTTTGAAAGGCTTCCCCTTTGCAGGAAACAAATTCATCAGTTTAGAGTGGCAGGCTGCCAGCAGGCTCTTCAGCACAGGCCCCACCCAGCCTCTCACCTTTTAGCACAGGTGCATGAGTGAGAGCTTCAAAACCTCTGACAGTAACAAATGATATGCATATATCGAAATTCTCACTAAAGAAACTTGTAATCTTCATGTTAACTTGTTAGGCAGGTTGATGGCTCACTTGCAACAAACACTGAGGTTTTGACTTCTGAATTTTTACTATCAGAGCATGCGTAATGGAGTATTTCTGATAAATTACGACCTGCTTGAGTCATCCAAATCAAAGAGACTCTTCATTAAAAAACAAAACAAAACAAAGAAATGATGCCAGACTGATTATTGGATACTTATAAGGTTTCAAATGCACCTGCAGGGAGAGAGAGAGAGAGAGAGAGAGAGAGAAGAGAAGAGATGGGATGGGGAAAATGTAAGGGAGGGGGGAGAGAGGGAGAGCAGTGTAACACAGGGGGAGAAAGTTGATTGGACGAACCACACGCTGCCATATGAGTAACGGGGGAAAGGGAGAGAGAGAGTAAGAGAATGTGCAGCGGATATAAACCGTAAAGGTTAATTGGACAGGTGAGCGGGTGAGGAACACGAGACGCAGGCGGCTGGCTGCGGGAGAATTTGATCCTCGGACAGATTGGAAACTCAAGCATCGCACTCGTCGTATATAAGGCAGAGCCAGCTGTCGGCAGCCACCAAAAAGTCTTATCTGCTGCTGCTGCTGCTGCTTTTGGACCCGGACCGAGGCAACTGCGGTGAGTAGCCCACAGCTGCAAAGGTAAACTCTCAGTACAGGTGTGGGCAGGTGTGGTATCTGTCTGGTGTGGTCTGTTGGTGCAGTGGCACAGCCTTTAGACTATTTGGGTTACTTTTTCAGGGACGTGACGAAAGTTTTGGATTCGTCTAGCACTGCTTAATTCCTCCAAACCTGAGAGAAAGGTGAGATTTTTGACCAAAATACAGGTTCGGGCTGTATCTGCTCATGCTTTTAACAGATTCCGCTAAAACAACCTGATAAAAACTTGCAGATCATTTTTCATCTACGTTTATTTTTTGTTTAAAGACAGCAAGCTGTCGAGCGCTCAGGAGAGGGAGTTTTAACTTTTCCTAGTTCTCTTTTTTATTCGTTCTGCAAGTTTAAGTATCACACATTTTACTCCTTCCCCCCCCTGTTGATTTTTTTTCTTGCAAAGTCCCTAAGTGACAATTATTTTTGCACAGAGCCAATTAAGCACTTCAAACAAGGCAAAACAAAAAGCCGATTAACAAGCTCGCGGGGGAGATCCAATCAAAAAGCACAATTAATCTGGCATAAATGATAAGACAGAAAATATGTTTGGAGTTTTTTTTTTGGTAAAATAGAGATTGTACATAAAACACATAAAACCCACTCATCAAAAACTTATAACCTGAGGTCTTATGGGATGATGATATTAACCTAGAAACCACTACAGATATTAAAAAAGGTAATCCAGTGTGATACAAAAGTGGGCTGAGAGGATATCACACAGCCAAATGTAGGCGAAGATAATTAGAAAAAAGAAAAATACAGACCTATGTGTGTTTCTTAAAGACTTTTCTTCTATTTTGCAGGACCAACATGTCACTCACATCCATTCTTTCAGCTGACGACATCCAAAATGCCATTAAGGACTGTGAAGGTAGGATGTCAACTTATGCACATTGGACCACACAGTAACTAAACATGATCAGTTATGACGGTCGTATGACTTATATGCAAAATAAAATACATTAAATGCCGAATAAACGGTTGCTGTAGTCGAGTTCTTTTGTTTTGTTTTTGTTTTTGCAGAAAGGTGCATAATCTTCTCCACAGCTTTTCAATATTGTACAGTGTCCTCGCTACTAAAGTCGCACCCGCTTTAAATCGGAATTTGTTTATTTTTTTAAAAAAGGGGGGTTTTAATAATCTTTTCTGGGTTTTTTTTTATATTTGTGGGGCATGGCTGCTGGCTTTAAAAGTTTAAAAAAAGAAAGAAAAAAAGGGGGGAAAGAGGAAAATCCCTCCGTCGCTGCAGACACATGCCGTTTTAATCTCCACATCACCTCCAGGCCCGGTGAACCTCGCGGGTCAGCTCTGTTTCTGTATTTGTTTCTCTTTTTTTTCAACATTTGTATGCTTTCAGCTCCGGACACTTTCTGCTACAAGAAGTTCTTTAAGCTGTGCGGCCTGTCCTCAAAGACACCCAAGGAGGTCAAAGATGTGTTCCAGATCCTCGACGAGGACAACAGCGGCTACATCGAGCACTCTGAGCTCAAGTGCGTAAAAGGATACGGGGTGTCTGCTCTCCCAGAGGCGCTGAATCTAAGTCTTTTCTTTTCAATATGCACTTTTGTTCCTTTACCTGGATTTACTCCGTCAACTAACTGACCCAGTGCGGTGTGGCTTCATATTTAATGTGAATCTATCTCGTATTATTTCTCTGATAGAAAGAAAAAAAGAAAGAAGGAGGCTTGGTACATTAAATCACACAGTAGTACTCTATTACTGTGATGAATGTTAAGCTGTCTCGCAGTAATCCACTGTGAGTGGTGTTTTCATTTCATTTCTGTTACACATTTCATCCTTTTTTTTTGACAAGAGGTTTGAATTGTGCAGTCCAGTTTAGGAAGTGGTGTCTTTCTCCATGTTCTTATTAGTTTATGTTTTTTAAAACATGCCGTACATTGTCATCCATAAATATCAGTCATGGATAAATATCATCATTGTGTGTGCGTCTAGGTTTTTTCTGCAGCGGTTTATCCCCAGTGCACGGACACTGACTGACGCAGAAACCAAGAGCTTCATCTCAGCAGCTGATGATGACAGCGATGGCAAAATTGGAGTAGAGGGTTGGTATCTGGTTTCTCACAGAAAAATCAGCATGTGGGCAGAAATGATCTTATTAGTTGGATTAAGACTCAGCTGGTGGAAATGAACCAACACAGGCTGTGCCAAAAGAGACGAACTGGGTGTTATATGAGATTTAGTGGGGCTGGGGGGGGTGTCTTTCACAAAGAAGTTACCATCAGAAAACCTTAAATGCACTATACATCTATGAGGTGAGAGAAGGTATTGTTTTTCTATAATGTTGAAATCCTGGGAATGTTTCATTGGTGTATTTTCTGATCCTTATTTAACTATTATGCCATGTGTGAACCAATCATGTTGATATTAAGGTCATCATCATGCTGGATCATTTGCCCCAGTTTTACCCATTATCCATTTGCAAACAAAAAAGTTGTCGTAGATAATAGGATGAAGGATTTAGGCAATCCAAAATGGACCGCTTTAGTCTGTGTTTATTGTTTATTTACCAGCTCTTCCCTAATCCTGGAGGGAATTGACACAAGGTTTAAATTTGCTTGTTTTCTTGATTTTTGTCACGTGGCACAT